CCATATTAATATGCTGAGCTGTAAAAGGCTCAAGCCAACAACTTCTGACATTACCAGGCCTGCAGATAACCCACTACTATTATGGACTACTGGACTACATTGGATTATTTTGCTGAATATATGCACCTGCAATATTTGAATGGCAATGGAATACCCATCTCTGACAAAACTAAACAAAAAAGAGGGATATAAATGAGGGACCATTTTGTAGTGAAAAAAATATATGTATATACAAAATAGGATAGATATACAGCTACTTTTTCTTAGTTCAATGAGAAGAAAGATTTGTACTAATAGTGTTTAGACAAGATATCGTATCTGCATCTTGTACTATGAATAACTACTACAAAGGCAAGGTATTAATCACTGTAACTGTCCTACTGGCCTGTTTTGAAACTGTCTCACTGCTATTTCTTTCTCAATACAATTAATTAAAAAAAATTTGCAGAAGATTAAAAAAAAAAAACAAACCAAAAATCAAAATGTAACTTGTAACAAGAGGATAGCAACCCAATAAAAAAATAGATAAAATATTTGAATAAACTTTTTGCAAAGTAGATATATGCCTAATAAGCCATAAAAAGGATCAACAGTATTAGTCATTAGGTCAATACAAATCAAAACCACTATGACTATCTTGCAATAATGAAGGAGTAAAGGTTGAGGGTACAGCACTTTGCTTAGTGTGTACAAGGTCCTGGGCTTGATCTCTATCACTGGGGGAAAAACATGGGCATACATTTCTTGTGGGCAATGAGAATATTTAACTTATAACAAAACAAACTACAAACAGAATACTTTATAGTTAACATTTTAAATTCCTAAAGATTTTTTCAGTGGTTGACAATCTTCAATTTTTTCTTTTCTTTTTTTTTTTTTTTTGAGATAAGATCTCACTCTGTAATAGTACAGCCTGGCCTTAACTCCCTTATATAACCCAGACTGACCTTGAACTCATAGTAATCCTCCTTTCTCAGCCTTCAGAGTGTTGAGATTACAGATGTGTGCCACCATTTCCAGCTAACAATCCTGAATATTTTTTTTTCTTAAAAATGTATTTAATACAGGGTCTACAGGGTCTCACTACATGGATCGGACTCATAGTGATCCTCTTGTTTTCAGCCTCCTAAGTGCTAGGATTATGGGCAAGCATCATCAAGCCCAGTCTCAATCACTGTGTTCAGCGCGCCCTAGGGGCAGGGCCAGCATGGCGTGGTGGGGATTGAATCCCAGTCCCTGCGGCTGCCTAAGCAGGTGCTTTAGTCTAGTGAGCTATGTGGCTGGCCCTTGAATACTTTTATAAAAGCATATTTATTCATTATTTTTCATTAGGCAAAAATTAATTGTTCTTCAAGTGTTGAAAATTGTTTCTCAATGTACAGAATAGAAGAGTAGAAAGAACATTAACACTGTATTCACCAAAGCTGTATGTGTCATTCATTCACAATATTATTCTGGCCAAGTTTTTTTTTTTTTCTTATTAGACTACTGTTTTCCCTTTAATAAAAGCAGGATGAACTCTGTAGTTCCTCTGACCACTCCTGTTGAAGAAAACTAAAGTGATTCAGACAAAATGAAAATTAACAAGCTTTGCTGTACACAGTAAAGGAAATTCCTAAGTTATATGAGAAAAACAGAAGGGAAGGGCTGATGCAAGCAATGGTCCTGTATACATACATACCAATTACATCCCAACACCAGGACCCACCCTTGATTAACATGCAAACCCACAAATCCCATCCCTCCAGCCCTTGACCCACAGTCCCATATACCTCAGCTATGGTCATTCTCAGAGCACTGACAGGGGAGAGCTCAGTATCCACCAGTTGGGCAGCTTTTAAACTCTGCCCAGTAAAGATTGCACAAGGACAGAAAACAGCATAGAGTTAGAAATTAAGGCAAAATTTCTGGACACAGCAGCTAAGAACACTGAGTAGTCACAGGAAATAAAGGTCTTAAGGCTTAGCACAGTCAGGCTTTGTAAAAGTGAGATGAAGAGTTGCTGTCACTCTGATTCTTAGGCGAATGGGCAAAGGTAAAATAATCTCAAATTAACCACAATTTTTAAGCTGGATACACTTGTCATGCCCTGTATCTTCTCATACTCTATTTCACCCCACTCTTTATAGAAGTCAGATTATAGGACAATGTCATTCAGTCGTTAAGTAAAAGCTGATTGATAAAAAAAAAATCACTAATATAAAGGGCAAAGATTATCATCTAGAGGGAAATACTGATTTCCTGTTATTCTTTCTATAAACACTAATAAGGCTACTTCAAATGTAAGAAAAGTTATGAGATACCTCCAGCAAATATATTTCTACTAAGTGGATTCCATTAAACCCTAGAAGTATATAATAAACCCCGGATTCTACCTAAATTTAACAAAAAGCCTTGTAAATATAACTTGACTTTCCTCTTAGCTTGTCTATATTGAGAGAACATGCTAGTATGCCAACATCTGCTTTCTCTTTTTGAAGACATTTAATTTTACTTTTCATGTTATTAAATTAACTTTTAAGAAAAACTCAGTGACTTTTAAGAAAAACTCAGTGACAAATATTTTTCATAAACTCAAAAAATGTATAATTAAAGCTTCTTTAAGAATGGCCAATTTTGCATTTATGTTAATACTTTAGCATTCCACAAGCTGAAAGGAATTATCAAAAAACTATTATTTTTATAAAGCCAACAAAAATATCTCCATGTACATATTTATTATTCTACTTATTAATTATGTTCAGGTTAAAATACAACCATTTGTTTCTTTGGAAGGGTATATAACATTAAGAATTTCATGGACAAAAGGCATACTTCATATTTGAATACATTTGTTGAATATCTTTTCTTCTTCCTTCAGTTGACTTTAGACTTTTAGTAACTTGTCCTTGAATTTAACCTCACTCAGTAGAAAGTGGTTAGCACAATGATACTGGGTGTTATCTACATTTCAGAAAGCAGAAACTTCATGGCTTCTCTACATCTTCACAGTTTGTTATAAAATTCACAGGACACAGCTTTTTCTGTCTATTCTGAGTATGATGAGTTATTTGAGCACAAACAAGCACAAGTCAACAACAAAGGAGATGAGAATCTGAAATTCCCTTACAGTATCACTGTCACAGGGCTGGAACTGGAAGGGCAGGGGTTTGTGAAATACGGCATTCTCTTGTAGGAACAGCTGAAGATTATAGTCCCGTACCACCTAAGGAGAAAAAGATGTTTTTAAGTCTTTAATAAGGTTAAAAGGTCCAGTAATTACATCCTAAAGTTTAAGATTTAATCAGCTCTTTTCAACACAAATGAGAAACGATTCAAAACTATATGATAAAAAAATGATGTTACATATATATATATATATATATATATTTTTTTTTTTTCCATTTCAGATGAGATGTGTTAGTTATGTGTCCTATTTTCTTAAAAATATAAATTTCAAAAGTACTAGTTTAGAAATCGGCCCAGATTTGGAGACCAGATAATATACCATATTTTAAGATAGCATAAAGACACAGAAAGCTATCTTGTAAAGACCTATGTATGTGAATAGGAAGCATGTTACAGGAGATGCACACTCTGCCTTTTCCAGCCCTAAGATTTTATGAGTCTCTTAAAGTCTTTTTTTCTTGGAGGCTGCCATCCAGTGGGAAATGAGGAGGTAATCCTATCCTTGCACAAAAATTGTAGTTTTAGAGTATTTCTTGGCATCTTTTCAAGGAGGCTTTGTTCTAATTACTATTTTAAAGCATAACAAGAAGACAAAGTAGAAAGGAACCTATGGAGAATAATTATGATACACACAGAGGAGCAAAATAAAAACCACAGATAGTCAACCATTTGAACAAGAATAACCCAGAAAAGTTAAACTCAGCAACATATGATGTGCAGAAATCCATGTGCTATTGTGCTGCCTTGTCTACTGCAATAAGGCAGCACAATAGCCATCTTCCATCTGCAATAAGGTATAGCTCATTAGCAGCTCTGTCAGAGAATGGCAGAAGAAAAAGGTTCAAAGTAGCTCTGTCTTGGTAGTCTTGAGAAAAGATGGATAATTTGAAGAAAGGTTCAAGTAGGGGAAGGCATATTTTCCATTTTATTTACTAGTGCAATCTCAATTCTCTACTGCTTCTTTCTCCCTTACTCAACCAACCATTTATTGAAAGAGCTTACTAGGTCCAATGTAAAGTGCAGGGGTGAGAAGGAATGTATAGGCAAACAAAACAAGCAAACAAGGTTAGTATTTTTCAAGTACTTTTATAATGTGGAAACTGAAGAGCAAATCAGCTGCACAATTAAGATACACTATGGGAGCATGTAGAGGGCACAGGAAGAACACAAGAGCATGATACCTAATTTAGACAGAAGGGTAGGATGGAGTGAAGAATTTTGAGAAAACTTGCTTAGGAAGGCATACTGAGTAAATATATTCTTTTTTAAATGAATTTTATTGAGAAACAAATAGCAATGAGACAGTTTCAAAACAGGTTAGTAGAACAGTTACAATAATTAATACATTGCATATTGTTGTCTTCATAGTAGTTATTCATAGTACAAGATGCAGATATGATATTCTGGTAAATACATTCTTAAAGGAAAAGATATTGTACTTTTCTTGAACTCTAGTTTTAAGCCAGAAAAACTAAAACTTATGATCGAACCATCAGTGTCTCATAGTCACTATGTAGAAAAGGTGTGTGGGTCATTCTTCTAGTTGCCAAACTTATCCTGAAGCATTATAAACCAATTTGGGGCTAGGTTTGGTAATGCATGCTTGTAATCCCAGAACTTGGGAGGCCAAGACAGTAGGATGGCTACAAATTTGAGGTGAACCTGGGCTACATAGAAAGTACAAGATCAGCCTGAACTGAACTACACAGTGAAACCCTGTAACAACATCAAACCAGGCCAAACCAAAAAAAAAAAAAAAAATTCAGTGTGGACAACCTTTAAAAATTTAAAACTTTTTCTTAGGCAAAATTTCAAACATATGAAAGTATAAGATAAAGTATAATGCATTCCCATGTACTCCTTACTTAATTTCCCAAAACATCTCATGGCTGATCTTGTTTCATCAATAAATGTACTACTACTTCTACCCCTAACTATGTTAAAGTTAAGACATACCATCTCACCTATAAATATTTTAGTAAGGTATCTAAAAGAACAAGGCTCTTCTAAGAAAATATATTTGTATTAAAATTTACAAATATTTACCAAACTAGCAATTAATATTCAAATTTCCACATTCCCTCTTTTAAGGAAATTATTTTTCAATTCAAGATCCAAATAAAGTCCTAGACCAGTTGCTGCTATGATGTCTCTCAGGTAGGTGGATGTTCAAGAAGAAGGGGGTGGTGAATGAAAGCAAGAGACAGGAAAAGGAATATTGTGGGACTGTCCTGCTTCAAGGTT